AAGACTGACAAATGCTTTTCATTATCCATAAAAGCACAACCTTGCATATGGGGCATAACAACCCACGCCTCAACTACCTAAACAACAACAGTACCTTGAGGAAGACTGATGAAGACAAGGACCTTGGAGTCAGAATCCATCATTCACTGAAAGTTGCACAACAAGTGGGAACTGCTGTCAAAAGAAGGTCACCAAACCTTGTGAATAATCAAGCGTACCTTCACCTTTAAAGAATAGAAGGTAGTTATTCAATTGTATAAGTCTCTGGTGCGCCTCCACGTGGATTATTGCATCCAGGCATGGAGACCTCATCTTCAGGAAGACATAGCTGCTCTAGAGAAAGTTCAACATCGTACAACTAAAATAATTTCAGAGCAAAATCAACTCCCGTATGAGGAACGGTTGAGGGCCACAGGGCTAACAACTCAACAAACCAGACATGATTGGGCTGATCTCATCGAAACCTTTAGAATATTGAACAATTTGGAGGATGTTGATCCAGACAATTTCTTCTAAAGGTCAGATGTAGAATGAACGAGGAGCAGCGGGTTCACGCTCAACACGCCACAATGAAAAAGACTCAAAATTATGAGGAGAATCAAGACAGATGAAGATATACACACTACAGAACGACCTGGTCTAGAAAATGGCTACTAAAGTTCAACTCAGGAAAGTATAAAGTAGTGAAATTAGGCGAAGGGAGCAGAAAGCGTAACACAAGGTACCATCTGGGAGGTGAAATCCTGGAAGAGTCAAATAGAGAGAAAGATCTGGGGGTTGATATCACACCGAACCTGTCCCCAGAGGCCCACATCAAAAGGATATTATCAGCGGCATATGCTAGACTGGCCAACATAAGAACTGCCTTTAGAAACTTGTGTAAGGAATCGTTCAGGACTTTGTATACCACTTATGTAAGACCAATCCTGGAATATGCAGCACCAGCCCGGAGTCCATACTTAGTTAAACACAAGACAAAGTTAGAGAAGATTCAGAGGTATACCACCAGACTAGTCCCGGAACTGAGAGGTATAAGCAACGAGGAAAGGCTAAGGGAGCTGAATCTCACGTCCCTGGAAAACAGAAGAGTAAGGGGAGACATGATAACCCACACAGGTGGAAACTGGGTACCCAAATGAGCCACAGAGACGTTAGAAAGAATTCTTTCAGTGTCAGAGTAGTTAACAGGTGGAATGCATTACGCAGTGATGTGGTGGAGGCTGACTCCATACACAGTTTCAAGTGTAGATATGATTTATTTATTTATTTATGCATATACAAGAAAGTACATTGGGAATGTGAGGATACATAATATGGTAATTACAGTCTTGTAAAGCCACTAATACGCGCAGCGTTTCGGGCAGGTCCTTAATCTAAGAAAATTTTAAGTAGGTAAATACTTGCAAAATTTATAGACAAAGAAAATGATAACAGTTACATGGAAGGAAAAAAAGATGAGAGAAAATTGTAGGTACAGTATATTAAAGCACATAGGTAGCTAAGATTGATTGCAATGACAGCTTGAATGGTAGTTGACAAAAATTGGTAGTCACAATACAACATATGGCTAGCACATAAAAGAAGACAGCAATGAACACAATGATAAGGTTGTTTGATACTACATAAAAATTAGGAGATTGGGTAACACTAGGTACAGAGCAAATTTAAAGCTCAGTGTAGGAAACTAAGAAGATGAAATTAGGTACTTTTTGGTTTTGCTTTTAAATAAGGCAAAAGTTTTACAGTTTTTCAATTCACTAGGGAGTGAGTTCCATAGACTATAGGTCCCTTAATTTGCATAGAGTGTTTACACAGATTAAGTTTGACCCTGGGGATATCAAAGAGATATTTATTTCTGGTGTGGTGATAATGGGTCCTATTACATCTGTCCAGGGAGAGTTTCAGAGCATGGTTTGCATTTAAGAACAGGGTTTTGTAAATGTAGTTGACACAAGAGAATGTGTGGAGGGAGTTAATATTTAGCAAGTTAAGGGATTTAAACAAGGGAGCTGAGTGTTGTCTGAAAGCAGAGTTTGTTATTATTCTGATAGCAGATTTTTGCTGCGTGATGATGGGCTTAAGGTGGTTTGCAGTGGTAGACCCCCATGCACAGATACCATAATTAAGATAGGGGTAGATTAGTGCATAATATAGTGAGAGGAGAGCAGAGTTAGGAACATAATATCTGATTTTGGAGATTATACCAACTGTCTTAGAGACTTTCTTAGTTATGTGTTGAATGTGGGTACTGAAGTTGAGTCTCTTGTCTAGGAATAGGCCAAGAAACTTGCCATCATGTTTATTACTGATGTTAATGTTGTCTATCTGTAGCTGAATTGCATTTGATGATTTGCTTCCAAATAAGATGTAGTAGGTCTTTTTGATGTTTATTGTTAGTTTGTTCGTTGACATCCATAAGTGGACTTTTTTTAATTCATTATTCACAACATTATTTAGTGTATGTGGGTTGAGGTCTGAATAGATAAGGGTAGTATCGTCAGCAAACAATATAGGTTTGAGAATATTAGAGACATTAGGCAGAAGAAATAGAAGAGGTCCTAAGATGCTGCCCTGTGGCACTCCAACGGTAATTGGTAAAGTGGAAGAAGTTGTATCATTGATGGTTACATATTGGTGTCTGTCACTAAGATAGGATCGGATGTAGTCAAGGGCAAGGCCTCGGATTCCATAATGCTGGAGTTTAAGTAAGAGGTAGTTGTGATTAACAGTATCAAAGGCTTCTCTTAGGTCAATGAAGAGTCCAATCGGAAACTCATTTTTGTCAAGGGCTGAGTAGATTACGTCAAGGAGACTAATGATTGCATCATTGGTGCTCTTTTGGGACCGGAAGCCAAACTGGCAGGGGCTGAGTATGTCGAATTTTACGAGGTAGGAATAGAGCTGTTTGTAAATAATATTTTCAAATATTTTTGATAGAATGGGTAGATTTGATATTGGTCTATAATTGTTAATGTCCGCCGGATTGCCTCCTTTATGGACTGGCGTTACTCTTGCTCTTTGATAGAGCCCAATAGGCTCAGGAATCTGTACACCAATTGAATAACTGCTGAGAGGCGGGACCAAAGAGCCGAAGCTCAGCCCCCGCAAGCACAACTAGGTGAGTACAATGTAGGACTGAGAACAGGAGATGCATTTTCACCCACAGGGTTATAAACCCATGGAACCGCCTACCCGCCGAAACCGTAAATGCCCAAACTCTCTTAAATTTTAAAATTCAACTGGAAAAGATTGTTTGATTGGTTCCAGTGCCTGTCTCGAAGACTAACCGGTTACATTATTTAGCATAACCGGTTCCAGTAGCTGTCTCGAGGTACAACCGGTTCCAGTACCATGGCCGGTGGACCTAAACTCCCAAATAAAAACTATCAAGTATAACTGACAGCAATAACAAATAACAGGTAATAATTTACCTGAGGGCCACTAACACTAGTTACCTCGACGAGGACAGGAAGCCGCCGGCTTGTCAAAGGTCCCTCCCATTTGCCCCGGTGATCTTTTCCAGCTGGATTTTAAAAGGTTAACAGTTCTTCGGTATGTACGGCTCTGGCGGGTAGGCGGTTCCATGGGTTTATAACCCTGTGGGTGAGAAAGCATCTCATGTCCTCAGTCCTACATATCTAATAACTCTAATACAACATATAATGATAATAATAATAATATTAATTATTATTATTATAATACAGTAATTGTAATAATAATAGGTGTGGTCAGGTTGACAAGTTATGCCGACAGGTGCTGCTCGCTTTCCCTTGAGAATTATTCATGGCTAATAACCTTAAATTTCAAGGGACTTTCTACTGTGGTCCAGGGCGCTAGAGAGGCTAGTCTCTATGGCTAGAAACCGATTAGCAGCGCCAATTTGAGCGCGGGGGTAGTTGAGGGCGGGAGGGGGCAGGGCGCGGGCAGTTAGAGTACAGGTATAATGGGGCAGTTCCCCTCGTCCTATCGGAAATACTTGGGAACTTGAGTCAGCGCGAGAACCTCTCCTCATCCATGTTGGCCGCGACATCACCCACGGCCTGGCGCCCCCGAGCCTCGCCCCGATCCTCCCGTCGCTGCAGACTTCTTCAACAAATTCTTGACATCGCTGGCCTCGTTTCGAGATGTACCTCGAGGAAAAGGTGGCGGGGTGTGTATACCGTAGCGCGATTAAAATAACCCCCTCCGAGTCGGGCGGCGGGCGTTGCGAGGAGATGACCCTCGCGCGCATTAGGTGGCGGGGCCATCGGGGGATGGTAGGCGGCACGTGGTTGGTGGGAGCGGGTGGGAGAGTCGTCCCGGTGGCCGCCGCCGCCAACCACCGCACCCGTTATATGCCTTCACCCCGGGGGACTCACCGCCCTGTTGCTAGGGGAAACCACACTCGCCCCCAACAACCACATTCTACTCCACTATCACCACCCATGAGCACGCTCACGCCAGCTCCCCATCTCCGACATATTAGCAGTCTATGGGGCGAGCTCTGATCAATACACCTATGCAAACACAGGCTGAGTCGATAGTTGATCTGCACCAATTTCTAGCCAGGATAACTGCCACCAATCGCCACTTTAGGCTGCTTCTTGCCATCCTAGAGATGTTATATTATAGGAGAGATGTAGGATATAGGGTATATTTGAGGGTTTACAGTATAATAGGAAGTGAGAGAAGGATGGGTGCAGGAGGAGGCAGGAGACGATGTCTGCTGGCGGAGAGAGAGAGAGAACGGGAGGCTGGACCACTCATATATTCCCCTAAACTCACTCACTATCAACCCTTTTCTTTACCTTTTGTACCATTCATTACACACCATATCACTATTAAAATGATTTTCAGATGAATTTTTTGCGATGGTAATGATTTAGATTAATTTTTAGCAATGATATATATAAAATTGAGTGGATTTGAGCGTCGGGGGAGAGGATGAGGAGTGAAAAATGAGCGCGTTAGTTTTGGGAAGTGAGCGAAGCGTTGCATAAAGTTTGGGTAGAGAGTGGTCGAGGTGCACTCAACAAGCCAGTGAAGACCGCTGCCATATTTGAAGAGTGCGCTGTTACTCTCCTCAGATCGATTTTGTGTATTATTGTGATAATTGTATACTTGGAGGAGTATACATGTGAGAGATGTAAGGAGGGAGACCTCGACGCCAGGATATACACGCAGGATTTACCCAAGAAGCCCCGAGAATACTTTGCGAAGTGGTTAACGTGGGGATTCAAATAAGAGATGGTGGACTGACTGCCCGATACTTCATGTTTTGACGGGAAAAGCCTCTTGTGAGGTGTTTACCGGCGCCTTGGAGTGCGAGGGGGAATGATCCGAGACACAGAGGTGGGGCGGGAGTGAGTGAGTGAGACAAGGTAGCGGTTAGAGGAATTAGCGATGTGATATTTGTGTTTTGGCTGAGTGTTTTGACCCTAGCGGGCGCGTCCACTGCACAGCGCGGGGGAGGAACCCTCCCAGGAGTCCTGCAAAACGTAAACAAACTGCGTCTTACCACCCAAATTTTCTCCTCCTCGCTGGACATGAACGCCCTCTTCAATGACTCCCAACAAGAAATCATCATTTAAAGGGCCGCTCGACACCATCTCGTCCAAGCCGGATTGATCGCCGGGGTTTGGAAGCAGGGTTGAAAGACGGTGTGGAAGGGTTTGCTTTGTTGACAGGTCTCTGGTGCTCCACGAGCTGCTGGAACATGGCGTTGGTCGCCACCTGAGGGGCCTCCTCCTCTCTCAACTGGAGGGAATATGCTTTTATTGACCTCCTGCTCGCTCATTACTGAACCAATATGCCGGAGACTGAGACGGCAGGCATTGCACTACCATTGATTTTAGTTGCAAGGGGGCCAAGAAAGAAGAGGAGTGTAGTTTTATTATATGCATGGATTGTATGATTAGAAGTGAAGGTTATCACATTTTAGTCCACTGAAAAGATACATATCATTGGAGTTCCGTGAAACTCTTAGACATAATAATAATAAGGAGACTAGTATCTTAAGGTGTTGTTGTGTTGGATTTTGGAATTTTAAGAAGATAATAGTCTAATTATATAAGACAGTGTAACTAAGGCCTGTGATGAAGTGATTCTGTGATTTCTTATGGGAAAAGTGAGCTGTGGAAAGTATTTCAAAGAGGAGAAGAAAGAGACTAGTGTGATAAGTGCACAGTACTTGAGGAGGTTCAGGTAATTCCTGGACCACTGTGCACACTTTAGAAGTGTGAGCCTGGCAGGCGCCGGGATAGCCAGCCTTGGGGAGCGCGAGTGCAGTGGTGGGGCCGGGCCGGGCCATGCAGGCGGGGGTGCCATGGTGCTGGTGAGTGGGGGAGGGGGGGACGGCTCGGGCGCCGCAGCAGCCGGTGGGCGAGTGGGCGGGGCGGCCGCTGCAGCCCAAGCCATGGACAAGGCCTGGGGGGTGACCGTGGCCCCCCCGAATCAGCACAAGCGCCATGACCCCTGGCACAAACATGAGCTGGCAGACAAGGAGAGAGCCAAGCAGATGCGTAAGTATTTACTTCTCTTGTTATGGTGCTACATGGCCTTCCCGGCTTGGTGCCTTCTTTTAATAATTACTTCAGTTATGTCTTGCATAGGATGTGACAGTTCTTGTTGATCCACAAATTCTATGCTTTCCATTTTTGTTGTGGCATTATGTTTTTTTGCATGCTAACCTTGCAGAGCAATAATTCTAAGATCAGGTACTGTAGGTATTCTGTAATTTAACACATCCTCTTGATGTGGGTAACCATTTTTTTTTTCTACTTGCAGATGGTGCTACATAGCCTTCCCGGCTTGGTGCCTTTAGTTTGATAATTATTTACTACCTGCTGTTTTGTAGATCTTGACTTCATTTATTTCTATCTTAACCATATTCACATTGGGTTGTTACCAGCCAGTTCCCTTGTTTTTGGATAAGAAACAAACAGGCAAAAGTCATTAAGAGTACTTTCAAAGGGAATGTATGAGGAATTGAGTATATAGCATAAATGAGGAGAGCAATAGGAAAAAGAGGTGAAAGTAAATTATATAAATTAAAATATTGGTGTGAGTTTAGCCCGAGTGACACATCTCGATGGGAAAATATTGACACATCAGATGGGGCGGGGCGGGAAGATGAAGAGGTTAGTTTTGTGGGCAGGAATACATTCTCATTAGCCTATAAGGGGGAAAAGGAAGAAGTGTAGTTTTTCATATTGGAGAGAATATAGGGTATGATTATGATAATTCAAGAATATGTATAATTAAGTATAACATAAATAAGGCGATATGCTCCAGGGTGTAAGCTGTGGTAGAAGAAAGAATGAGGTGATGGTGCTTTAAAATCAGCTGAATTATTTTGTGAAGAATCGGGAAAGTTATTATGTGGGGGGATATAAATGTTAAGCTGGGATGAATGATGAATGGAGAGAAGTTGTTGGAAAGTAAGTGTTTCAGATATACTGTACAATATATGAAAATTTGAATTTTTTGAGTGATATGAGATCAGAGAGAAGATTGTTTGATGGGAGGGTAGCCTAGTGCTATGAATGTGGGGTTAGTAATTATAGAGAATTTTGCAGAATTATGATAGTCACTAATGTCCTAGTATTTAACATAAATAATTGACATTCAAATTTTATATATAAAAAAATTGAGTAATAGTTTTGTATTGCAAGTGGAGATGTTAATATATAAAATGACACCGCTGTCATGGGTGTGAATGCAGTACTGTACTTATTTGGGTTAATATTATGTCTAAATCCAGCTTGTATATCCCTAGGTATAAAATAGTATGCCAATTAGTCCAACACACATTGCCAGATGGAGCCATCACTCATCTACATGAGGATTTTGCCAGTACAGCCAATATAATGGTCTATTATATTGTATATTATACCCTATATATTTTATACCCTATATGTTTCATTATTATTAGGCGACACTCCTTTTATGACATAACAAACAATACCGTACTAGGTTCCAGGATATTGGTCCCTTTGGCATCTGTATTCAAAGACGAAGGACCCTAATATTTGGTGGCTCGCCTCTTCGGAAAACTGAGCATTAAGAGCTGATATTACTGGACATGGTAGTAGGGTGTCTCGGTAGTCTTCAGTAGTGTTCTCATATTATTTGGTGATTTTTTATTTTTATTTTGCCCTATTCCTGAATCTGAACATTGGCGGCAGACACCTCGTGTTCAGTGGCTCGTTCCTTGGGATCTACTGACTGCTGATGTTTGATACTATATTAATATGCAAAGTAACATGGTGTGTTTGGCATATATATATATATTGCTGGCAGATTCAAATTGATTTAGAGATACTGGTAATAGGTTTTGTTGTTTGAATATCAGCAACCTTAATGATTCGATTGTGCTGCTGACATCCAGTCATAGCATTTAATGCACCTTTCTAGATGTATACGAATGTCATTCTGTAATTTAAGGACAGTGAAAACAAGATTACACTGTATTAAATATTGCCCAAAAATATATTTAACTGTCGGCACTTTATTCTCTTAGGAACCGAGGACAGACTCATGGAAAGCAGTGTTATAATATTTATTCTGGCAGTTTCATTATGGATACCTTTCATCTTTCAGTGCTGGATACTGTATTACATTCATGAGCAGGTAGTGTACACAGCCATTTGTCCAGGGATTAATGGGCCGCTTGGGGAATATGTACAAACTATACATGTGAGAACCATGAGTTTATCTTTGTCTAAATGATCAGAAGTTAAGCTAGTGAAAAGAATAAGATGGAAAGAGAAAATTTAGTATTTGAGATGTTAGATCAAATCTAGTTATGCGAGTGTTTTAATATTGTTAGGCGACACTCCTTTTTTAACATACAAGAGGTTCCAGGATGTAGGTCCCTTTGGTGTCTAGATTCCAAGACCAAGTACTCTCCTTGATACCTGCTTGATATCAATACCTGCTTGATTTCCATCTTATTAGTATTAAGTTCTAGATATTAATGTTTTTCTTGCCCGAAACGCATTGCGTAATAGTGGCTTTAGGCATTGTATGTACTAGCTCTATCTATATATCAATCCATTAATGTAACATCACTTGTATGTATATACCTTACCTGAATAAACATCTGAATCTGAATCTGATATCTGCTTGATGGGGTTCTGTAAAAGTTTATATTCATGGACAATGTAGTAATATAAATGGTTCAATAGTCTTGGGTAGTGTTTTGGTAGTGTTGGACGATATTTTGTTGATTTTTATATTGCCCATTCCCTGTATCTGGATGCTGGCATCAGACATCTTGTGGTTGGTGGATCATTCCTTGGGATCTATGGTTGGATTTAACACATTTATGAATTATGTCACTAGTGATGGGACAATTAACTAGAATTGGTATGGAGGATCAGAAGTCGAGCAGTTTTCATTAATTGGAATTGGTAATGAAAAAAAAATTATGATTTCCAATTCCTAATTCTTTAAAATTGAATAAGAAAATACATTTTAAATTTCATTTAAGAATTAAAATTGTTTAAATTGTGATCATTTTCAATAAAGTATTGTAACCTAAAGCCTCATTTTATTATGGCAATAAAATTTTATTTGAAAAAAAAGATTAACAGTTTTATTGTAATGTAAATTGTATACAATATGTACACATATAATGGGTAATGGAATGTTTTCAGTGTTTCTTGTTTTCTTATACAGTATATGAAGATTAAGGATTAATTTTTTAGCAAAATAATTAGCTATGCTTTATTTGAGCTAGTGTTGCAGTCAGACGACGAGTCACAATAACGTGGCTGAAAAAATGAAGACCAAACCACAACTCGGAAGATGGAGAAGCACGATGTTTCTGTCCGTCCTGGACCATTATCAAGTCGTGTGCTTGATAATGGGCACATGAACTTGATAATGGTCCAGGATGGACCGAAGCCATTGCTTGATACCTGCTTGATGGGCTTCTGGGAGTTCTTTACTCCCTAAGCCCAGCCCGAGGCCAGGCTTGACTTGTGAGAGCTTGGTCCACCAGGCTGTTGCTTGGAGCAGCCCGCAGCCCCACATACCCACCACAGCCCGGTTGGTCCGGCACTCCTTGGAGAAAAAGGATCTCCATCTTCTGAGTTGTGGTTTGGTCATCATAGTATTGCTATATTAGCTTTATTTGAAATACTAGTACGATTACAATTGTATTTTATTGTATAGTGCACAATTAAAGCATGTATATCCACATGAATGTTTTAACTTTTCAGCTTTTTTCCAGAAGATTAAGCTGGTTTTACCAATTGTTTTTATTCTTAAATCACTCGGTGATCACTGTTTTACATTATTAATACATTTACCATGCTCATAATTAAATCATAATTTTTTCCAATCTAAAATACAGAATTTTTCAGAAAAATAAGTACTGTATACATCTGTATTTTTTAAAAGAATCCGAATAGAGGCATTGTTATCAGAATTGCTAGAAATTTTAGTATTGTCCCATCACTAGATGTCACTGAAATTCCTTTTAGTAAGCAGATAAGTGATAAAATGACACATCTTGACAAGAGATCAAGCTTGATACCTGCTTGATACCTACTTGTTGGGGTTCTGGGGGGGGGGGGGTTCTACTCCCCAAGCCTGGCCTCAGCTTGTGAGAGCTTGGTCCACCAGGCTGTTGCTTGGAGCGGCCCGAGGCCCACATATCCACCACAACCTGGTTGGTCTGGCACTTCTTGAAGTAAAGCTAGTACTTGAAACTGATAGCATTCCTAGATGTTACCTTGAGATGATTTCGGAGCTTAGCGTCCCTGCGGCCCTGTCGTCGACCAGGACCCCTTGTGTTATTGGTAGATTATGAACGTGTCTTTGAGAGTTGGGCATGGTTTCATAGCAAATGTCTAGACACACACACACTTGCCCCACATAGTGCCAGTGGTCAAAGCAGTTGCCCCATCCAACCTCTCAAACCACAAGAGGAAGTCGCTTTTGCCTTGACATCATAAACAGGAACTGTAGTGTTTAAAATGGTTGATGTACAGTATTAGAGAAAAATAAAAATATTAAAACAATACATATACTAATAAGTTTAAATAATTGTAGCTTGGAATAATTACAAATACTATGCTACAAAAGGTATAGAAAATGGGATAGAAAGATAAATTTTAAGAAGAAAATCAGAACAGCCTATAGCTTAATGTATACAGAGAGTTAGTGCAGCATGTAGGAAATGTAATGTACCATTTTGAACTTACAAGCAAAGCATTATGTGCTAGTGCACAAAGTCATTATTATTAGATTTGCATGATGTCATGCCCTACGACTGGAAATATAAGCAGACGATGAGTCACAATAACGTGACTTAAGATATGATATACAAAACCACACATCAAAAAGTGAAGAAACGAGAACATTTTGGTCCATCCTTGTACATTAAGTCATGGTATGGAAATATAATTTTATGAATTTTATGGAAACTTGGCAACTTTCTGTGTAGAGTAAGATGAAAACAGTATGGACACGGTCATAAACTACCACATATCCCTAATACCAAAAAGAGAAT